GGTGGTGGTACACTGCCTAACGATAAAAATGGTATAAAAGAGTGGATAGAAAAACATTTAAAAGCATTAGGTTCAGCACTGGGAAAGCTCGCTGAGAAAGCCGCGGCCGCACTTCCCGGTATAATAGGGAGTGTTGTTTCCTGGCTATTGAATTTATTAGCTAAGACCACCACTTGGCTTAGTCAAAACTTGTGGGGGCTGATCGTAGCAATTGCAGGGCTGCTGTACGTGTTCGCTAAGAACTATTTATCCACCAAATCAGTTCGCTAACCAAATCATGAGTAAACCAACCGAGACTCCACCCACTACAAGCGCTGTTTTTTCATCGATATGTTGTTGATTTTCAGCCTCAATATGCGGTGGTACTTGTGCGTGTGCATTAGTAGATGGTTGTGAAACATGTGGTGTTTGAGGCTTGACTATTCCCTTTTCGCCCGTGATCGTTTGCGTTATTAATTCAACGTTAATATCTGAATTTATACCTAGTTTTTGTTGATCGGTAGCAATAACAATTTTATTATTATAGCCTATCACTTGACCGATCTTAAGTTCCATATTACTCGGAGACATGTATAGTCCCGGCGCATAAACGAAGTCCACTTTGGATTGAGCGTACTGTAATGCATCTTGAAAACGCTTTATAGACGATGGTATGTCAACTGGTGAATTAATGGCGTCCTCCACGTTTGCGACAAACTGTTTTTGCGCATCGAGCGCCGTCCCAGTACCGATAATTCCCGTTCGTGTTTGCGATTGTGCACCGAGAATTGCCCATACATAAGTTCTTATCGATTCATTAAATCTTACAAATCCTGGGTTAGTAAAATTATTTTCCGTTTTATCATTAAGAAATTCATTCCAAGCGTTTGCGGTATCGTTCAGTTGTATAAATTTTGTAACAATATAAATTAAACCACTCTTAAAACTCTTAATATCCCCTCTCCAATCGTTACTCGAAAGTTCCCAGTCTTTATACCAATGATGAGTTTTTAGAAAATAATCATACATTCTTATGTAAAGTTTGCTGGTATGCAACAACTTAAACGCATTAAATGGACCTTTGTTAACTTCTTTAAATAAATCATCGCTTTCTTCTTTGACGGTTATTTCCCCTGTGTAAGGAACACCTAGACCATGGTTTGCTCCTTTAATACGCCAATCTTTACTCGTAGAAATATTAAATTCCTGACAAATACGCTCATACGCGGACCTATTGTACGGATTATTTGTGGAATTCCACGCTCCATCCTGCGGTAATGGAGCACTAATTTCTTTAAGTATACGTCTAATCTGATAGTACACGTGAAATAATAAAACAGACTTATTTAGCATAAATCCTGGGGCATTAACAGATACGCCACATCCCGTTGTGGCACACCATATGGCAAAGTTTAACTGATTCTGCCAAAATTGCATCGGATTGTGAAACCAATCGTGCACCATTTTATCGCTAGTTGCCGTGACCCTGTACTTTTCAAAGATATCGGGGAATTTAACGAAAAATTCAGCACCAGAGGCAGTTACTATAATCGATTGATTAGTAATGTATCTCGATTTCATATTTAAGTTATGATATAGTATCATTGTATATTAAATATGTATGTTACACTCCCGGGAATAACAAATGGTCAGTCTATTGAACTGCTTCATACTATCGATAACTCGGATGGACAACTCGAAGTAGCTCTATGCGATGTAACGTATTACCCACGGTGGACCAATATAAGTGCTATAAAAAATAATAATAAGATGAGTATACCAGGTGAAAACAATGGTATTGACAGAGAACTCATTATACCTGATGGGTATTACAGCGTATGCTCACTCAATGATGAATTTTTTAAGTCTAATGGAATGAGTATCACACAAAATGAGTCGAATGGGACAGTGAAAATATACACTGGAGAAAAAGGTGTAATTATTTGCGAGTACTTAGCAATTACACTTGGACTTGGACGGTCAGCATTGTTACCACCCAAAAAAACAGTGACTGTATATGCATTACCCGATTTAGTTCCCTATAAAGAGTTGTCCATCCATCTTGATCAGATCAGTACGACGGATAATATTCAACAAGAAAGTCCTTCAACTCTACTCAGATGTGTTCCAGTTAAAGATGAAAAATACAATAGCGGTAGAACGGAATCTTTCTCGTCATTACAATATAAAAAATTAAAGCGTGGTATTATTTCAGACCTCAAAATTTCTGTATTAGATGTAAAACATCAACCTGTACATATAGGATACTTAAGTGTAACACTCCATATTATAAATAATGGTTGATTCCATATTTAAGTTATGATATAGTATCATTGTATATTTGATATGTATGTTACACTCCTGGGAATAACAAATGGTCAGTCTATTCAACTGCTTCGTACTATCGATAACTCGGATGGACAACTCGAAGTCGCACTATGCGATGTAACGTATTACCCGAGGTGGACCAATATAAATGCTGCAAAAAATAATAATAGGATAAATATATTATCCATACTTGGTACTAGCAAATCCATTACTATACCTGATGGGTATTACAGCGTAAGCTCACTCAATGATGAAATTTTAAAGCCTAATGGAATTAGTCTCTCACAAAATGAGGCGACTGGGACAGTGAAATACAACCATGCAGATAATATAATTGTATTGGCCCAACCAGGTAGAGAGGAATTTAGTCGCTTAGATGGTGCACATCCTTATATTAAATTACCCGATTTAGTTCCCTATAAAGAGTTGTTCATCCATCTTGATCAAATAAGCACGACGGATAATATTCAACTAGAAAGTCCTTCAACTCTACTCAGATCTATTCCAGTGAAAAATGAAAATATAATAGCGGTAGAACGGAATCTTTCTCGACATTACAATATAAAAAATTGAAGTGTGGTATTATTTCAGACCTCAAAATTTCTGTATTAGATGTAAAACACCAACCTGTACATATAGGATACTTAAGTGTAACACTCCATATTAAAAATAATGGTTGATGCATCAGGCCCTGGAACAGTAAGACAATGTAATACAATTGCGCTTTCCGATCTCGGAGACACAGAAGGATTTGGTAAACCCGGTACCGATGGTAAGTTATACGCTTTACACTTACACGATAATGTATACAATCGGAAAGAAGTTACATTCACGGGTAATCTAGGAGATTTAAGCGATGTCGATGTTAGTAGACTCCTTAAAAACACTTCGTACAATATTACTCGCAACGACGATAATAAATGGACTATGATCGAAGCAAACATCGAGTGGCTACTGAATATCGTCATTACCCCACCTTATGTGATGATGGGTAAGGGACATAATTTAACTAAGATAATAAATAGTGGCATCGTACTCGCGGCTTATATCCCGTCAAAACGAAAAAGTGTGTTGGTCACCCCCCTGCCAGAAAACCCAGGTCATATGTTATATAGTCGTCCGGCCTTAAAAAATGTTACTTTAAATTTGGTTACTGAATTCGAAGATATTAAAGTTAACCTGAGTGCAATACCTAATCTTTCTACGCTTATTATTGAAGTCTTGTTCGGAGATGCACCGGAAGATGCCTTCGATATATTACCAGGTCTATCAATTAAATGGCTCAAGAAACACGAGCGTCAACGTTGCAGTATTATTCATATCGGAGCATCGCCCGTTGCAACCCTCGAGGGGGTCCAAATTATTAAAAGTGACAGTATTTCTCTTTCTAAGATATTCTTGCCGTATAATATACATTTGATAAGGTTGATGTATAGTCTCAAAACATTTAAGCAAGACCAATTAAAGACTATTATATGATCGTAATATACACTATGAGTTTATATCCGGCGCTCGGTGAAGCATTTGAAAAGATGGAAACTGTTGATGGATTTCGATTACATCAAATAAGCGACATAAAACATCGAATAGGGAAGGATAGGGAGTTGAGACTTGGATTGTATAAAAAGTATCGCAGAGCCGTGAATGCTCTGGACGGAGTTGACACCGCGCTTGTAGTATCTGGCATGGGACTCGGTGTAGCGGGTATCGGTTTACTATCAACTATTATCGCCGCGCCTATCGTGCTCGGCATGGAAATAGCCGCTGGAGTCTCGGGACTGGCAGGAATAGCGATAAAATTCATTTCTCGTAGGTTACAAAAGAAAGCATTAAAACACGATAGTATTCGGATACTCGCCGAAGCAAAGTTGAACAGCATCGAGGATCATATTTCGACAGCAATGGCCGATTGTAAGATATCCGAGGATGAGTTTCGTTTAGTGCTGTCGGAGCTCACCAAATACAATGAAATGAAGCAGGAGATTCGATCAAAATCTCGTAAGACCAGTGGTATTAGCGAAGACGAGAAAAAAAAGTTCATAGAACAGGGGAGGCAACAAGCGCGTCAATTATTCCGTGCCAAAACCAAAGAACTGGTTGGAGATTAAAAATAAATTGCTTACTATCGTGTGATTACATTTAGACAAATGCTAACATAAATATATAATAATGGAGAAAGCTATTCAATGGAAAGAATTACCACAAGGTTTTTATTATATCAGTGATGTCAAACCAACCAAATACGGTTATCAATTGTTTCTTATCAATTTACAAAAAGAGTGTAGTTATATAGTCTGGTCTCCTAGTAAAATGAACGAAGAACTTAATAAAAACGTTGAATATCGCTTTATCGATAAAAATAATAAAGAATATTTTTATTACGATTTAGACTCATCTAAAGCAATGATTGGCCCCAGGTATTGGTGAGCTAGGGTCAATTTAACTTAATCTCATGACTATCGTTAAATCGCATAATCATTTTGGCATAAAAAATCCCCCCTGTAGTAGCAGTATAGGTATATAAATCTGGCTCCAGTGGAAGTGGTCCAGAACCCCTATTACCTATACTACTGCAGCTTATCAGGTGATTTACCTTATCAATTAAAATAACATGGCAACTGCCTTGCACATTATTAATTGCAAGCTTACTAATAGATCGAGTTGACGTCTACTAGAAAGTAGTTCCACGCTCAGGGAGATTTATATCCCTTGTGAACGGTGTGAGGTTACCTCTCTGGATATATGTGGCAATGAATACACGTGTATTTTGCCTATGTGTGGCGGTGGCCTTGTCTGTATACCTACATAATACAGGTATGTGTGTCATGTTTCGTAAATCTACACATAAAAATGTTAATTATATTTGCATGCAATTGTATGTCATTTTACTTATGCGTGATATCTAATTATACAGGTGCGAAGTGTTAAATGCCAACCATTAGGTGTTTCAGATGCATGTTCGTGGACTATTGCCAGATACATACATTAAAGCGTGGTAACTAAACGCATGATGTACGACATGGGACGTGCGTGAATATTTGTTTCTTGATCCCAACACACCGAAGATTTTACCATTCAATAATTAAATCCTACCATATACAACATGTACGGGAATTCACTGCCGTCGTGTCATGTACCCATTATACAGTACATGTACACTTGATAAAGTACATACAGGCGAAAAAAAGAGATGTATTGCAATACATTTTTATGGTAGTACTTTCACCATAATTACGCAAAATAGTCAGCTGCCATTGAAACAACCCCTTTATTGTTACAGAGACGACTCTGGATCATTCATCGGATGTTTTTCGGCTTAATATTATGTCATTGTCGTTGGCACATCTCTCCCACCACATCGCCTATCACCGTGAAATGATTTTGGAAATTGTCCAAATTCTCAATCCTTGTCGTATAAGATGACTTGATTTGGAATCTCACCGAATGTACTATGTACATATATTTATATTTGATATCGATATCTGGTCCAAATTACTTACTGTCACGATAATGCTGCCTGTAATTCAACTTTCACTCTCTAAATGACTCACCACATTCCCATTGAATTACACAACCATACTTAAAATGATCACACTTACTCTTCTACAATATAGATGTACAGAACTTTCCCTGTGACTCTCAATGGCATATTGCCACATGTAAACAGCAACAAATATGGCAAACATCGATATCATCATTACACCACATTACTGGTATCATCATAACACCACACTCCTAGTATCATCATTACACCACACTCCTAGTATCGTCATTACACCACATTCCTGGTATCATCATTACACCACACTCCTAGTATCGTCATTACACCACATTTTTAGTATCGTCATTACACCACATTACTGGTGTCATCATAACACCACACTCCTAGTATCATCATTACACCACACTCCTAGTATCGTCATTACACCACATTTTTAGTATCGTCATTACACCACATTCCTGGTATCGTCATTACACCACATTCCTAGTATCTTCATTACACCACATTCCTAGTATCACCATTACACCACATTTCTAGTGGTGTCACTATACCACATGATTATGTTACATTCCTTGAAGTGTCACTTTACCACATGATTATTCCACATTCCTGGTATCATCATTACACGACATTCCTGGTATCGTCATTACACCACATTCCTAGTATCGTCATTACACCATATTCCCAGTATCATCATTACACCACATTCCTGGTAACGTCATTACACCACATTCCTAGTATCTTCATTACACCACATTCCTAGTATCGTCATTACACCACATTCCTAGTATCATCATTATACCACATTTTTAGTATCATCAGTACACCACATTTTTAGTATCATCAGTACACCACATTCCTTGTATCGTCATTACACCACATTCCTAGTATCGTCATTACACCACATTTTTAGTATCATCAGTACACCACATTCCTTGTATCGTCATTACACCACATTCCTAGTATCGTCATTACACCACATTCCTAGTATCGTCATTACACCACATTCCTGGTATCGTCATAACACCACATTCCTAGTATCTTCATTACACCACATTCCTAGTATCATCATTACACCACATTCCTGGTATCGTCATAACACCACATTCCTAGTATCTTCATTACACAACATTCCTAGTATCGTCATTACACAACATTCCTAGTATCCTCATTACACCACATTTTCAGTATCATCATTACACCACATTCATGGTATCATCATTACACCACATTCCTAGTATCGTCATTGCACAACATTCCTAGTATCTTCATTACACCACATTCCTAGTATCGTCATTACACCACATTCCTAGTATCCTCATTACACCACATTCCTAATATCTTCATTACACAACATTCCTAGTATCTTCATTACACAACATTCCTAGTATCATCATTATACCACATTCCTAGTAACCTCATTACGCCACATTCCTAGTATCGTCATAACACCACATTCCTGGTATAGTCATAACACCACATTCCTAGTATCTTCATTACATAACATTCCTAGTATCTTCATTACACAACATTCCTAGTATCGTCATTACACCACATTCCTAGTATCCTCATTACACCACATTTTTAGTATCATCATTACACCACATTCCTAGTATCCTCATTACACAACATTCCTAGTATCTTCATTAGACCACATTCCTAGTATCCTCATTACACCACAACCCTCGTACCATCATCACACAATATTTATAGTATGAAAATTATACATCCCAAATATCATAATAACACCAGTATATTGTATGAAAATTACATTTCTACCTGTAGTGGTGTTGCACCACATTTCTAGGAGTGTCACTATACCACATGATTATGTCACATTTCTAGGAGTGTCACTTTACCACATGATTATGTCATATTTCTAGGAGCGTCTCAATACCACATGGTCATGTCACATTTCTAGTAGTGTCACTATACCACATAATTATGTGACATTACGAGTAGTGTCACTATAGCACATGATTATGTCACATTTCTAGTAGTGTCACTATAGCACATGATTATGTCACATTTCTAATAGTGTCACTATACCACATGATTATGTCACATTTCTAGTAGTGTCACTATACCCCTTGATTATGTCACATTTCTAGTAGTGTCACTATACCAAATGATATGATTATGAAATATTTCTATTAGTGTCACTATACCACATGATTATGTCACATTTCTAGTAGTGTCACTATACCCCTTGATTATGTCACATTTCTAGTAGTGTCACTATACCAAATGATATGATTATGAAATATTTCTATTAGTGTCACTATACCACATGATTATGTCACATTTCTAGTAGTGTCACTATACCACATAATTATGTGACATTACGAGTAGTGTCACTATAGCACATGATTATGTCACATTTCTAGTAGTGTCACTATAGCACATGATTATGTCACATTTCTAATAGTGTCACTATACCACATGATTATGTCACATTTCTAGTAGTGTCACTATACCCCTTGATTATGTCACATTTCTAGTAGTGTCACTATACCAAATGATATGATTATGAAATATTTCTATTAGTGTCACTATACCACATGATTATGTCACATTTCTATTAGTGTCACTATACCACATGATTATGCCACATTTCTATTAGTGTCATTTTACCACATGATTATGTCACATTTCTATTAGTGTCACTATACCACATGATTATGTCACATTTCTATTAGTGTCACTATAGCACATGATTATGTCACATTTCTAGTAGTGTCACTTTACCACATGATTATGTCACATTTCTAGTAGTGTCACTATACCACATGATTATGTCACATTTCTAGTAGTGTCACTTTACCACATGATTATGTCACATTTCTAGTAGTGTCACTTTACCACATGATTATGTCACATTTCTAGTAGTGTCACTATACCACATGATTATGTCACATTTCTAGTAGTGTCACTATACCACATGATTATGTCACATTTCTAGTAGTGTCACTATACCACATGATTATGTAACATTTCTAGTTGTGTCGCTATACCACATGATTATGTCACATTTCTAGTAGTGTCACTATACCACATGATTATGTAACATTTCTAGTAGTGTCACTATACCACATGATTATGTCACATTTCTAGTAGTGTCACTATAGCACATGATTATGTAACATTTCTAGTTGTGTCGCTATACCACATGATTATGTCACATTTCTAGTAGTGTCACTTTACCACATGATTATGTCACATTTCTAGTAGTGTCACTATACCACATGATTATGTAACATTTCTAGTTGTGTCGCTATGCCCAATGATTATGTCACATTACTAGTTGTGTCACTATACCACATGATTATGTCACAGTACTTGTAGTGGAGTTTTATTAGAATTACACCATGATCCCTGTAGTGGAATTACACCATAGTAGTAATAGTGACATTACACCACATTCCTAGTAGTGGAAGTAAACCACATATTCCTAGTAGAAACATTAACCACATTGTCAGTAGTGGAATTACACCACATTCCTGGTCGTGGCATTACGCTACATTCCTGGTCGTGGCATTTCGCTACATTCCTGGTCGTGGCATTACGCTACATTCCTGGTCGTGGCATTACGCTACGTTCCTGGTCGTGGCATAACACCACATTCCTAGCACAGGCATAACACCACATTCCTAGCACAGGCATTACATCACATTCCTAGCAGAGGCATAACACCATATTCCCACTATTTGCTTTACACCACATTGAGACATTTCACCGCATTCCACATTAATGCCCTTTTAAGATATTCCTATCAGTGGCACATCATCCCATTCCTATTGATGTCATTTTACCACATTCGCATGCAGTAGTGTCATTACGCCACATTCCCAGCTTTGCCATTTCATCACATTGCTATTAAGGCATTACACCACATTCATAATAATACCATCCTAGTAACGGCTTTACACTACATTCCCTGTATTGTCATTTCACCACATTCCTCGTAGTGGCATTACATCACATTAAAAAAGTGGCATTTCACCCACATTCCTAGTAGTAGCCTTACACAACATTCCCACGAGTTACAAGAATTGTGAAATTGTTATGAAAGAACTTATTACCACATTACCAAAAATATAGTACAAGACTTTGTGCAACAATGCACCGATGCAATAACTTCACCCTGTCACCGACATACCCTACCCATCACATCCACAATATGACCAGTACACTAACACTGTCCCACACAGGCTACACTGGCACTATTGCCAGTCTCTTTATACCTGCACACAATCGCCAGTACACTACATGTACATGTTTGACTACTAAGTCAAAGCCTATTTGTAAATACTTTATTCAATTTCAGTATCACTTGAGGCAATAGGATGCCGCGGCACCACAGTGACACTACGATGTGATTCAAACAGTGTAATATACATAGACAACATATATGCTCTTGCCAAGAAAACAACTACAAACTGCCCAACAAGTGGCACAGTTGGCAACGGAGGGTCAAAGTGCACTCACAGTTCTGAAGACTGTAAGATGTCCTACACAGGTGAAAGTGTCACCACGTACCACGAGCGATGTTCAGGGAGGCACATATGTGAGGGCCCGATTACATCCCAAGCTACAACATGCAGTAGGAAAGATTTCTCGTCTCAATCAAACTACATGTTGTTTAAATATCAGTGTATAGCAAGTGAGTACCAATAGAGTAGAAAATTTAATACCTTGCATGTGTGTCGGCGATAGGAAATACATGTATTTAAAACAAGTTCAATATGACAACACTGGAATTTTGTAACAGGTGTACATATAACTACATTTATAGCCGCAATTGACGACCTGTCATAAACTTTCGGAAGCTTCCATACAAAAAATATCTAATGGCGTATGCCAATATGGCCAAAATACTACAATGCTATTCCTACATAACTGTGACAAAAATAATATAATTCAGCAAAATCATATCCGTGTCTCGACTTCTGACGCTAATGTCAAATTCTAGCCAACCTCTCTCAGGATATATGTTAAATTGTAAGGTATTTGCGTCATCACAATTCATTGTGTATTTTCGTTTATCTGTTGCTAATTGCAGTCTCGGACATCACATCATTTTCGGAACATAAACAAATAAGAGGAAAGGCTGTTTCCATCTGGAATGTTGGGTATCCGGATTCAGGAATAGCCAACAACGCCGACAACGTATGCAGCGTCACAGCATCCTGTAGTACCGCCATAGTTGTATCAGCGTTAGACCTGAATCTTAAACATAACGCCTCAGGACGTTGTCAGCAGCAAATGGTCATCGTGGACGGTCCAATTCACAGATTCACTATTCACAGAGTTGACTGCAACAATAACAGTTACTACAGGGCTAGTACCTTGTACACGAGCAGGTCTCATTTCGTAAGAGTCCACTTAATTATAGACAATAACTTACCAACCAAGGCCGGGCGCTTCTGGGTTCAGTTTCACGGTAAGAAATACCAAGTACTTATATTGTTGAGTGGTCGCACTGATGGTAATGCTGTTTTCTCGTAATGTCATCACTTATGCCTTGTATATCTAAACATTAAATCCATTTGGAAATGATAAAATTCAAAAATTGGATAATCCGGCGCATGTAGAACGCTTCAACGATATCTGCCTGTCCAGAGACACGTGAAGATCCGGGTTAGAATAGATGTTCAGTTACCCATTCTTGCCGTAAAAGGTGACTATGCTTGAAGTAGGTGTCGACTAAAGGCATCGGGAGGTAAGGCTCGATGCATGTCATCCTATCCCAGTTACGGGGGTCGATGTTCATGATGTCAGCCACTGGATTATCTGGTCCAGACTTGATTATTTACAGACCTCCGTCATAAAGCAGGAATAGTTGCTGAGTGAGGCGTTAAACAACTATCAAACAAAAAAATGTTTTGTGGCGTCATAGAATTCATTGTCCGTGTCAGTTGGTGACGTAACTATATACCCGGTATGATCTATATACAGCTTCAAACCACAACGCCATCATAGAAATAGGATGTGGGACATCAGCCAGCACAACAGCCCCGCACGCGCCAGTGTGTCCCGAAACGACAACAACGACAACGACACCAACGTCTCCAACATTGCTGCAGCGTTGTACACCCGTGGCCGTTCATCAATCGGCAGATGGTATCATGCATTAAGAACTACTTTAATTTGCTAAATCATTCCCAAGGTAAAAAGGTATTTCGACGGATCAAACGCGCCCTACAACTACTCTTGCACCATTCCTTCTGTAAAGGAATATAATCGTTAAGTGTAGCAGGTGAACAGTACGCATGTTTACAGGATTCCCTTAACGTGTTACTAGTGAGGAATATGATTTCATGAATGTTCGAAATAGTTCGCCATACTATCATTGTGATATGCCGTGTGTTCAAATTGGGATGATACACATTTTACTTTCTTCATAGTTTGTATTGAGGAGATTTGATAGTAAATGATTGAATAGTATGTTAATGTTGAATTCAAGACATTGTCAGAGTGTGCAAGCGTGTGTATTTTTTATATGTGTGTGTGAGGGAGAGAGAGAGAGAGAGAGAGAGAGATAAAAGTCTGGTTGAAATATTGATGTACCTAAACAGAAACTATTATATATGACATTTCATACGCCATTGCCTTACAGACACCTTGAACCCTGGAGTAATAGCTGGTGTCGTTATAAGCGTGTTGGTCTGCGTCATGCTGTTGCTAATAGCAACACGGATTGTGTGTAGAAGGGTCCTGAAGAACAACAAGGTTCGTACACGTATACCTCTGAGATGTACTAAAATCAAGAGATAGGACAGTACTTGAGTGAGACGTCTGCACAATGACAAGATGGCCAGGCGTAGCCTAGAAACGCTACTGTGTGCTACTTGTATTGAGTGTAAAGGTACAGTGCTATCGTATCTGTAACAATATACCAGACGAACGGATTATGGACTACAGTCCGTTTGGCTCCAAATCAGATCGATGAATTGCAAAAAATGAAATCAGAATCGGGAATAGTTTATTAAATTTCATTACGGTACACGACAATGAATACCCTGTACCCAACAATATCTGCAGTTTGTGATTTCTATACCCATCACTGTAAAAGGTTGTTTAAGAGACTATTACGTTGTTATGTGTACAAGTTGACATCTTGAAAAAAAGAGGGCAAAACGGTAGGAGGAACAGTGCAAACACTCACGTGCTACACAAAGGTACAGGGAATAAAAACATAAGAGGGGTCGTCTCATGATAATTGTATTCGCAATATGACTCGTTCATGTCAAGGCCCGCGTCGTCGGAATTACTTGTGACACTGATGATGGTCACAACTATAGGTGGGACTGTTGCTTGCTTGAAGTCCATCACATGACCAGTATCTTGACTCTATCTCGTTTATAATTACGACTTTGGTAACGCAACGCTGCCATGTTTCCACTGTTGAGGGGTTCATTTACTGGCCTTTCAACATCCCACAATTTAAACGTTGTGTTTAATCGTCCAACGTCACCTTTGACGATACCCCATATCAACTCTATTGGGTTCAGATAGCAGTTGTAAGGGGGAGGTCGTAATACGGCGTAACCTTGACCTTTGATGTAGTTGTCAACAATATACACGGGCTCGGCTTTGTTAGATTTGGCGATTTCATAGAATTGTGGTTTTGTAGCCCTGGAAAGTAAGGTCATATTCATCCGTTGCGGCTACGTCACCATATCTCCTTTAGGCTATAGGACGTCTGGATCCTGCATACTGTGATACGGTGCATTGTCCATGACGATGAAGGACTTGGCAAGCAAAGCAGGAACTTATTTATTTTTCACCCACTCCAGAAATACCTTGCCGTTCATTTCTGTGTGGTTTTCCCTGTTGTCCTTGGCCTTGGCTCAAAAGGGAGAAAACACTGACTAGCACAGCCAGCACGGTGAGCGATAAATCTTTCACCCTCTCTCATTGGTAACTATCTCCTGGACGCCTTACCCACCGGGTAACCAATGACTGCTGACTGTGTTAGAGGCATTTCCCCATGTCTAATCCATAAAAAAACAGGCTCATATCCTTCTTCACGTTTCTGCTTGGTCTTTCGAAGATAATGATTTCGGAGACGAAGGATGTCAAACTGTTCACATAGCAGCCCTTTTGTCACCACCTATCTTTTTGTATCTGTAGATAAGGATAGGGTTTTAGCTGAGACTAAGGAGTAATCTCAGGTGACTATATTCGAGCTTAGGGCTCTCATCTAAAAGTAGAGACATAATCTATTTATTAAACTGCTCCAAATGTGGGAAACAATATGTAGGTGAAACAATACGACACTTCTGCATTATACTCAAAGAATATGTTTCCGATAACAACCACCAAAGGGACAAACCTGTCGCCAAACACTTTAATTCTGTAGGACACTCAACCAGAGACCTACACTATCAAATCATACAACAGCTAAAACGATTAAACGATTGTAACGATTAAATCATGTCCAGTTTTAATGTATTTCTTCAAGAGTTTTAGTGACATGTACTTATTCTCTGAATGCAGTTTAACAATTGCTCGCCTGGCTTGATTTTCTTTCTGAAACCTGTCTAATTTATCGACCTTACATGGTTTTGATATGTTCTCCGTCTGACTGCAAGAATCCCGTCGACGGACAACATTTCGCAGCTTGTGAGGAGATATACAAAGAGCTTTAGAAGCTCGTTTCAAGTATTTATTAATGGCATAAAATGGTCTTTCTGCTTCATAGTGAAAGAAATCAAACACCTTAAAAATCATCTATTTTACATCACCTGATTGGCGCATTTTGCAATTCATTGTTCTCATTTGGAGCCAGACTCTAATTCAAGGGACACTCTGGCATTATTGCTACCAAGAGAATAGTTACCGGGCGAGAGTTTCAACTCATAATTAAATTGTAGATAGTATGTCAGCAACATAAAATATATTCGCTGTTTATATTTACAATGAATGAAAACAGCGAAGGTAGAGGAGATCTCCGTCGGTGAACATGTTGCCACCAAAAAGTACTGATTAAAGCGACGTTAATCAATCTCACCAACCTACATGTATGTCAAACTCAGAAGACAAACATCATCTTTGTAAATTTTAATTTATTTAATGCCTACGTGTCTTAAACATACGTACCGTATACGCAGTATCCTTCATGTTATTGTGTTATTACTGTTATAAAGACGTATACTTGTTCCTGCAGATGAAAGTTGCAAACAAGGACGGGGGTTTACTCGATTCTGAGTTTGCTGTAGCCCTTGGTATCAGCAGCACAGCCCCTGCCGCCTCCCTGTATCCTAGTAAGCCACGACGACTGACACCAGTAGGGGTGCCACAGAAAGGGTTAACGTCAGGGGGCACAGGGAATGTCCCATGGAGCACCATCAGTTCAATGGCTCCAACTGCATCTATTGTCAAACACATGTCTTCAGCAGTGGGTAAAACAAACAACCACATCAAATCACCACAGCCTGCATCTATTAAGACTAACGTGTTTGTTATAACGAGAGAGGTCATGGGTCAACAGGGCAAGGTGACCTCAAACAACATCAAACACAATCTGGAAAAATGGAGATCGTCCAAAAACGTCAAAATAAATTGAATGTTCCTGTTGACGTTAAGGTTGAACACTGCGAGCCCAGAGTGGATCCTTAAGTTAGTGTACGTGGTTTAGTGGCTAGGGCTCCCAATTGCAGAGGATGTTCGCTTCCACTGCTGCCAGGAAGAGCTGGTTGACGTATCAAATCCCAAATAAGCCAGGTTATAAACATTCACAATGCTGTCAAACCCATACCTAGGCCTCCCACAGGCGGCCAATAACCCCATTGTGTAAATCCGATGCTTTAAATAAGTCTAAATCTAACGGTGCGTTGTACTTCTATCGTCAGGAGTTCACTGTGTGAAATTATGTTTGTTTCAGAAGATAATGAATAGAAAAACGGCAAGTTGTAAAAGGTGATGATTGTTTGTTAAATGAAACTATTACACAGCAGAAATTCCAAGCATTCAAATGTACAAAATATAACGACTATACTTATCTCATATTTCTGTTAACCGTTCGCAGACACAGTTTAACATTAATTCAGGTATACGTAGGTATCTTTTTACAGTTGAGGCATGTACTTAGGGACACCTACAATGTAATTGGGCTACCTATTTGCTTTTCACCTAAAATCGCTAACGGCGACACAGTTTCATATTAACAGAATAATATTATCAGCAGAGCCTACATGTATGTATATTCAATCATATGACTATGACTACATTGTATGTGTTTACAGAGTGTGGTGTGATTTACCACAGCAGCAACACTACCTGACAAGTATATAGCTCTGCGTTGTTAGTTGCGGTAAAACATGTCAGCTACGCTTCTAGTCTTTTTTGCAATCACATGATGACTTAAGTATTGGTTGACAAAAAGAAAGCAGTGGCTATATATATATATATATATATATATTCGCTTACAAAGAAATGTATTTCACTTCACTTCGAGACAAGATCAGTGTTCAGTTACAATTGTGGTAATGAATGCATTTTGCTTTTATGTTGCCTTGCCGCTATATTTACACAATGCAGGTACGTGCACTACTTTATCTGCTTTTTACATGTCTGTAAAATTACCTAACGTTATGTGATGCATAAAATCGTTAGATGAATTGGCTTTGAGAAAATATTTAATTGATGTTAATGCTGGTGAAGCGCTTAAACATTGATGTTATATGTGGACAAAAGATACATCTGTAATCGGGTTGTGTATACATCTGTCTGCATCTGTAGTGTATTAACGAAATGGTGACATCCTGGTGCACATTTAACGTTACAACATTCTGGAGTTTAACCATCATTTGGTACATTGCAGATGTTTCCAGACTTAAACTCGATTTAATATTACTCGTATAACGATAATAATCATATTGATCTCAGATATATATTATCAGAGGAAAATACTATATATAAAGCACTATTTGAGAAGTAACGCACGACAAGGTATTTAGATATTTTAAGAATTTATTATATCCAGATTTTAACAGAGATGTAAATGAATTTGATAAATCAGTTCAGGAATTTTTAGATTCCTATTCATATCAACATTGTAATTATATGCCTTTTACTGACCAGCTTTTATCAGGTGAAATTACTGGAAATGAAATTAAACAAGCTTTAAATGGGTTAAAAGTGGGTAAAGCAGCCGGTGAGGATGGTATACCCCCTGAATATCTGAAAAGTATAACAAATTTCATAAACCCTTATCTTAGGCAGCTTTTTAATAAAGTTCTAGATACTGGTGTTTTTCCAGATTCCTGGAATATAGGCATGATTATTTCTCTACATAAATCTGGAAACATATCTGATCCAAGAAACTATCGAGGTATTTCTCTCTTAAATGTGACTGGCAAATTGTTTTCTGTTGTAATTGAAAAACGTATTAGAACATGGTTAGATGACCTGTTATCAGGATCCCAAGCTGGATTTAGACCCAACTATTCTCCATCAGACAATATATTTATTCTTCAATCTTTGTGTACAAAATATCTTATTAAACCCAAGGGCCGTTTTTATTGTGCCTTTATCGATTTCAAAAAGGCTTTTGACTATGTGGAAACAATTGATGAACAATTCTTGATATGAATATGATGTGTCAATTGGAAATCAGACAGGTACATGTATATTGCCATCATATTATTGCACAATAAATTTAAATCTATGACGTAAAAACTTGTCTCTTGCAGTTTTTCAGTTTGCATCGTTTTGCAAGGTTTAAAAATGTGCATTCGTCGCCAAATTAGGGCAGAGTGAGAAGTCACATTGGGTAGAAAGCTACCTTCATTTGCATTTCACAAGGCACGTCAGCATTATTTAAAGACGAAAAAACACGACATGACACAAAATGTCGTCGGCGGATATAACTCTGTGAAACACACGTAGACGGGTGTAGTGCCAATATTTCAAGAAGAAAACAATCTGGGATTCGAATCCACGATTAGCGGCTCCTTACGGCACCTTCCGGCGCCATATCATATGTATTTCAACTAAACTAGTTCGTTATAGAGTACGATACGCATTGGGTTCATAGGTAAGCAGTTGACAGACGAAGCAGTACTGCAACAATATAGAATGTCCACATCGTTTGCGCGAGAGATGCCAACATCACCAGTTTAGATGAGGTAAATGTACGGAACGAGTGCGTGAAGAAAGTGTTAGGATGCTGGACATTGTAGCCCCGGTGCGGATTTTAATCAACCCACTAGCATTTACATGTGGCACTGTATTCAGATATTCTGTATGGAATTATTGGAACACTGTAATATAAATAATTGTATATCACCACTAATTTTACATCTTCGTTCAACAAGCACTTGGTACATATCCCAGAGACTTTTATTCTCCCGGAATCCTTACTATGGAGGTTACTACATAACGGGCTACGACGTGTGGTTTAACACATATCCAGAATAAAACTAGATGCAGACCTTTGCAGTTTCTAACTCAAACAACAAACAGTCAAAACTGTTTTTTCGGGTACCAATTTCAAACATTATATGTTCTGTCCCAAGCTGTTTGAAGTGCGTCATTTCAGATTCGTTTAATGCAACCGGATGCTATGGTTCTCACCAGTTGCTAAATCTATCATGCTCAAGCCACGAGGTCATCGCCCTGGACAACATATGGGCAAATGCAAAAAACAACTCCACTAACTGTCCTACAGGTGGCGCAGTTGCCCTGCCGCCGACAGACTCTTGCTGTAAGGCCAATGCTCAAGATTGCAAGATGGACTACACAGGTGCAAGTGTCCCTGAGTACCACGAGGCTTGTTCGGGGTTCTCTACGTGCGAAAAGGAGAGTTCATGGCAGAACACAAATGAAGTATGTGGTTCGGATTTTCTATCGCCATCAAACTATATGGACATTGAGTATCACTGTATAGCAAGTAAGTAAATACAAAGGATATGTTACTACCATAATTATACCTGTACGTGGGTATATGTACCACTGTTTACGTAAATATCAGTTTTGCAATATATAGATATATAGGTACAAATAACGTACTTGGTATATGTGAGTGAGTATTGTTTTACGCCGCTTTTAGCAATATTCCAGCATTATCACGGCGGGGGACACCAGAAAGGGGCTTCACACATTGTACCCATTTCGGGAATCGAACCCGGGTCTTCGGCGTAACTAGCGAACGCTTTAACCACTAGGCTACCCGACCGCCCCATTTTGGTATATATGCTATTCATTGTGATCATTACGTGAAGGGTATGTTTATCATTATTCCAGGGGCGGTGAGGCAGCCCAGTGGTAAAAGCGTTCGCTCGTCACTCCGAACACCCAGATTCGATGTGTCACATGGGAAGACGCCTCTTTCTTGTCTCCCTCGCCGTGATATTGCTGGGATAATGCTAAAAGCGGCGTAAAACCATATCCTCTCACTCACTGATTGTAATTTAGTTCAGATGTTTAAAAGTCAAGTTTATTGTTTTGCAGCCAGTGGTATTGTACACATTCCGTCACATAACATGACCAACGGGTCGACAGTTTCAATCCAAAATGTGGGATATCCGACATCAGGGCCACTTGGCAGTGCCGGGATGTGCAGCATCACCGCGTCGCACAGTTCAAACATAGCTGTGTCATTACTGCATCTGAATTTTACACGTGACGAAGATAACACCTGTCAGCAGTACATTGACATATTGGATGCTAGTTCTTGTGAAAGAATAGATTGTGGAAACAATACCAACTACAATTCCGGTACCATTTACACAAGCAGGAATCATTTCATAAGCCTTAACTGGACGAATCAGCACACCAACTCCGGGCGATTATGGATTCAATTTACAGGTAAAGTACACACTGCTTAAATAAGGTACATGTATGACGGAGTGTCATAAACTATTTGTGCAAGGGTAAACAACATCCATAACTTCAAGCCATGCGAACTCTACTGAGTCTCCTAAACACCCATGCATTGATGTATGTTTCTGTGGGCTTTACAGTTTAGTTTGGTATATGTGATGATACGCATATGGGTAGATTTGTATCGGCCTTGTAGATGTACATTTCATCGGCAATCATGGAGTGCATGAAACAATGCCACTAGCTTAAAAAAGTATTATGGGGGTAATTCTTAGGGAGGGTGAGTGAGTGAGTTTAGTTCAACGCCGATTTGAACATTATTTCAGTTAAATCATATTTACGACCTGTCAGATCAATGTTTGGGTGAGAACCCGAACTGATGCAGGTCTTAGACATTTGACTTTGGTGAACCCCACGACCACGGGTATCATGCCAAGAATTAGTATCTGGAAGGACAGGGATTCGAACCCACGATAGTAGATTTTGGGCGCTGCCAATTGATTCAAGTCTATTCTTAAATCTCTAGCTAAATATTATATGTAATCTATATTTTTATACAGCAACAAACTACCAGGCTAATTTAGAGCTACGATGCGGATCTTCAGCAACTGTGGAAGAGCCGGGTGTGTCAACGTTTCCAGGTACGAGTATGGCAATTATTATAATTGCGGTGACAGTCTCGAATGTCCCAGAATATGTGGACACAACTACAACACTGATCACGTCGCCATAGTCATGGTATGCTTCCGTGTTTCGTCGAATACTTCTTAACAAATGCAATGAATATGACACGTTATGCTATATGCTTTGTAAGTATCATTACATACTACATGTATGTCACAGTCACTCGTACTTAATTAGTTAAGTTAATTGTCATCTTATCCTGTATCCTGTATACCTCTTGCATTCAAAGCACCGTTCAGTCTCATTTCACCCAAATGAGACAGAACTTACTTACGGATTTCAACTTACTTGTCATTTGTTCCTCATAAGTCAACTCTGTCCTAACTGAGTTTAGAATGCCACCTCACTCTTCCCCTTCAGGTGTCATGAGTCTGGCGGAGGCAGCTGGTACAGGTATAGGCGTCGTGGTGTGCGTCATGCTACTTCTCACAATGATGTATGTTCTGTATAGCAAGAAGCATCAGCTGGTAAGTATCACCTCCGTGCATATTTGAAATTGTAAAGCTTCTTAAACGACAACAATGTCCTCATACAACCCAGCCAGTAAATAAGGAGAAAGACAGAACATTATTCAGCATCATTTGACAATCATTATCGAAGAAATGTAATAATTTCAACTTCCATATACGTCATGTAAACAACCCTTAGTCCTGATGTAAACTGTTCGTATTATTGAGGATGACCGGTCATATTAAACTGATATCGACGAGTGGATATTCTTCGTTAGTAGTTATAACACAAAGGAAGAAATCAGGAAAGACACCTACCATAGTAAAGAATACATGACATTGTATTACATGATTATACTTGCAATGTATGTTAATCTACGATGCTTATACAAATACGTGCTGCAAGGAGGCAGTCATTTTTCTAAATCGTTATGTTGTTTATACCAATAACTTTAGACACTGGTAACAATCTTGAACGCAACTTCATACCGCGATATATTATTTTCTTTACATTGCAAACATTGTTTGAAACCCTGGTCTTAAAGCCTAATGGAACAGCCAAATTGTCCATGATATCTTCCATCAAGAACATCTTGTTATCCTACCATATCCCCCATCCAGTGCGCGCCAGTGCGTATGTGGTTATAAGCACATACCTTTCACTTGTTGCTATTACAATGCTTATGCTGGTGATTACAGATGAAAATTGCCAACCACGGTGGAGATGGCCCAGATTCCGAGTTTTCTGATGCCCTTGGTGTAACAGGAACAGATATGAGCAACACTGCTCCAGCTTCTGTCAGTCCGCCAAAGCCACGGCGACTAGCACCAATAGAGGTTCCAGGAACTGGATCGTACATGCATCTTTGATAACCAGTTCAGAACTGCTATGACCAGTATATCTTCTCAGACACATGTTGCAGACAGGTTTCAATAGTAAAGCAACTCAACCAGGGTTTATAGATTAATTTATATAGTGATATATTCTAAGCGAACGTATTAACCACGAGGCTACCCCACCGCCCAGAACAGGTATAGAAATGTATATGCTTACCGTCCTCGCTAAAGTCCTTCGTTTATATCTCCAATGATGCCTATCCTCGTGTTAAAGTCCTCGGCTACACCCAAGTCAGACACTGTTATTCAGTATCGCACACTATCATTTAGTGATAACAATTATTCCAGTAATTTGTCCGATTGTCAACCTTGACTTCATAGCCGATAGACAATGGGAACGCCATGTTTGTAAACATGTACCTCCCTCACATTTAATTTGTATATTTATCCGTAAATGTCCCCAACGGATGGCGTTCGTATCTGTTGGCATTATCATGCCAGGAAATCTCTTTATGTAAAATAACTTGTTTTGTCAATAGATTCAACTGTTTCTTGGCATCATACAAGGGCTGGTCAAAAAGTTCCAAACCTAACAAAAAAAAACAACAATTGTGAAAGTGTTTTTCATTTCATTTTTCAACATAATCTCCCTGCTTTAAATACACTTCTTTTATCGATAGTGAAGCTTCTCAATTTCAGCCAATTTCTCAAGCCACCCTGCAAAAACCAATTCACGGCAGGTGGAAATCACTTGGTGCCAGGTCTGGCGAGTATGGAGGGTAAGGAAGCTCCAGCAGTCAGTAATCCTCGCCGCCTTTCTTTGACAGAATCTTTCAGGCGGTGACGCAAATCAGCGTAGTCGCACCGGAAATCGTCTTTTGACTTTCAAAGTAATCAACAAGGATGACACCCTTTGCATCCCAAAATACAGTGGTCATAACTTTCTTTAAAAAATTTGATCTTGAAGAGTTGAATTTATTTTGTGCCGGAGAGTGCATGGTGCCATTCCATGGATTGACGTGTTGACTCGGGATCACAGTGGTAGACCCATGTGTCATCACCCGTTACTAATCTCTTTTTGAATTTGATAAAATCCTCCTAAATTATCTCTAAATGTTCTTTGGCAATTTCAGTTCTTTCTTCCTTGAGATCAGAATTTAGAAACTTTGGCAACCGACGAGCAGATATCTTTTTCGTCTGTAAATGTTCATGACTAATCTTTCAATGGATCCATGGCTTAGACCTGTGTCTTCCTCAAGTTCAGCAATGGTATTACGTCTACCTAAGAGTATTAGTTTGTCTATCTCCTTGATTGAATCTTCATTGATGGAAGATGAGGGACGTCCAGACCTCGGGTCATCATCAAGGCTAGTTCCCCCAGCCTTAAAATGAGCTGCCCAACGTTTAACAGCGGAAGGGCTAGGGCACTTATCCCCGTACGCTTTTGACATGCGGTCATATATTTCTTGGGGGTTATTTTTCTCTAAAGTCAAAAACTTGATGACTGCCCTGTACTTGTTCCTCTCCATTTCTGTGTTCATTTGGTTCACATGGGCGTCACTAATATACAAACGGCCTCAACAGACCAAATACACTTGTAATGAAATACTCAAACAATGTAATATATTGACTACAGTAAACTATGGTTATAACGAACTCAAAGGGACTACTAATTTTAGTTCGTTATAACCGTAATTCGTTTTAAGCATATATAAAGTATAACAACAGCAAATAGTCGGGACTAAAATGTTAGTTCGTTATATCCGTTAATTCGTTATAAGCGAGTTCGTTTTAACCATGGTTTACTGTAGTTCACTTTGTTATGGCCCATAGTTAAAAGGTATTGAGGCTTAGAACTTTTTGACCAGCCCTAGTATGATATATCTGCTCAGTATTTACCACCGTCTCGAGATGTGAACATTATTCGCGTACCAAGTGTTGTCACTGTCATATACTATTCGGAGCTAGTGGTGATCTCTTTGTACTAAATACGTTGACTCGTGTACTCTCTTCCGTTTGAGCATAATGCACATAAATTCCATCTACGAGAGGTATAAAATTTCAGTAATTTGTCTGAGTCGCTCGTAATATAGCGAGTACTCTCGAGGCCAATCTTCACCGGAAGTGTGATTTAAGATTACCTCCCTTTATTGTTATTGATAAACACAAGAAAAACTTGAACGTTACAAAAGTTTCGGGATAGGAACACTTTTAGAAGGGTAGCTGTACCAATATAAGACATTCGACGGTCACAAATTCTAGACATTCGTGAGTGCACATGCTTATATTATAGCGCCTGCTACTTATTGCTGCTGCCACTTATTTGCCTCTCTGCAATGCCTTTTTGTGATTGTAAACCTCAAACTGTGTGTTTCAATAAATTGTTGACTATTCACTGATCTTGTGTAGTTATTTACTGATGTCACAAGTTGGTTAACCTTTACATTTCCATTTGGAAATCACCCTGTATAACATGATGATTCTGTTTCTCATGGTTCACATTGTAATAGATGACTGTTCGTGTTCATAGTTGATCGACATTCAAATTACAATCGGAGTGCAACGTTACGTGAAAGGCAAACATATCGAATGGGAATTTTAAACTTAAATCCCTTAATTACTAAATTGATATGAGTGACACTTCTGTTTCAAATACTTTAACATTTAACACAACTATGTATAATCCATCACGTGTATTTGGGAAGATTGGTAGGTGTGTGTGTGGGGCGAAGGGGTTGGGATTTAGGAGGGTGGGGTGGAGGTGTTTGAAAATGGTTGGGGCATAGGCAATGTTGGAAGGTCAAACCATTGAGGCTGAAACATGATGGTTCTTACTATCACTGTTACATGCAATTTGGATTTTCACAAGGAAGCGTGTGACTAGTGTTGAAACAAGTCCGAAGGAGCTTGACGTTTACTTTATGAATTATTTTATGAAATATTCCTATTGCATTTTCGTTAATCAGTCTTATATATCAACAGAACCTTCCTATTGGCTTCCTAACAAGGCTACATAACTTAAACGTAAAGACTTGCAATCAGGAAGTTTCCATATGTGTCACACCACTTGGCTGCCCACAGTCGGGTATTTAAAGTACCCCCACTGACGTATGGGCTTCCTGAGCAGAAGGGGGAAGAAGGTAATCGAACTCAAAAACGATCTTGATATTTGAATAAATGAATATCATTGTACTTCATTTTATGAGACCATGCGACACATTCTGTAAAATTATGAACTAATACTGTATGTTTTAAGGTGAAAATATTCAGTGTCGTTATGTCATAAGAATATGAAACAAAATGAACTACCATCATAAAAAGGTAGATTTACCATTTACGAGGTGATACTATTTTCTATCACATTGTACGCCACGTTAGTACAACTCAGGATTCCTCATGAGAGGCATGACTACGTAAAAAGAGGACATTGTACTGAGTGTTCAGTGTTATGGTGTGACGTGGTTCCTATGTAATTATCACCGGCGGTTATTGCTTATGAGAACTGAGAACAAACGTGTCTTGATAGATATGTACATGTGCGTGTAAAGTGTGGATTCTAAAATTGACTTGATTCAATAGTTAGAACAAACCCGGAAAATTCTGCCAAGCCAAGTTCTCCGTGTTTTTCAATTGGCGAGTAGCAGATAACACAGGGACTGTATTTCAGCACTGGTATCAACAGCCATGGTGTGATCTCCCGAGCTGACGTCACTATATTACAATGTACACCATAGTTTCAGTTATTACAATTTGCTTCAGCTTGTAATACAATTCGTCACAGTTATATTACAATTCTCCGCGGTTTATTATTTTAGGGCGTCAAATTTGTAACACACGATTAGAATGATCTTATAATTAATGAAGACAGGTAGTTATCAATAAAATAGAAAACATTCAGGATTTGTTTTGCACAATGTACACGTGGTTGCCGAATATTTTGATTGTTTCTTTTTGTCCCGTTTATGAAATGTTAAGGAATATGTACCTACATCAAATCAATTCGTTTCATATTTTATAATAATTTCAATCGTTTCTACAAGTTTCTACTTTTATCAATTGTTAGGGAACGTAAATTGCAACTGAAAACTGTTTGTTTTGCATAAGACATTTATCTTACGAAGAGCATGTATCACCCAAAGAAATTAAGAACTGGTTTCATTGTCTACGTCAATCCTAATATTTCTGTAAGTGGCTCAATCGGCTAGGACCCCTTGGAGACCCAGGTTAGAAGTGTTCTTTAGCAGCCAATGTGTGTTAGAGGCGACTAACGGGACTGGGTGGTCAGACTCGCTGCATTGGTGGATGCTTGTTATCATATCCGAATTGCCCATAACCAATGCTCAAGATGCTAATCACTTGATTTTCTGGTCCAGGCTCGATACTTTACAGACCGCCGTCATATATCGGGAATATAGCTGGAGGTTCTAGTGGATATCTACGGCTCGTTTAATCGTCTAATAATATATTTTATATACCATTTGAAATCACGCTCAAAATGCCTGACGCTGCCAGCCTTGCCATCTTTCTCGCTGCGTGGACAGCGATTATGCTTTAAGAAAACGACCAAGGACTATCCGTTAAAGTTTATCGAAAAAGTAGCGTGAGGCCTTACATTCTGTAATTAATGTTCATTAAGATCATGTATATAAACACCAAGCATTCAGTGAACAAGGAGCCCAGCGCTAGCGAGCATAAGTGGCGACAACCAGCTGATCTGCGGTTGTATCACACACAATAATGTCAAACCGCACGTTTTGCTCTTCGGTGCTCTTGAGAACAAATTGGGGAAGAATTTGGATAATATCTTTAATTTTGTGATTTATCATTTGTATTATGTCAGTTGCGGGTAAATAGTCTTGTGTAGCGACATCCCAAATTATTCAGTCATCCTGAACCATCCTGAAAATCAGCTGCATATATGCAAAGTAGACACAATTTATGGATAACAACTTCTTTAATACTGCAAAGGCGACGTTTCGGCAAAGATCCTTATACCATTGTCAAGCAAGACAGAATGGGGAGCATTATACAGAATATATGTATAGTATTAGGAGGATTAACAGTTGCAACAATTGCATACATAAGTGGGATACATGCATATATAACACGTCCCATTTTAATTCTGGAAACCCAAAAGTCCAGAAACTCTACGGTCTTTGCCCAGTCTCGGTTAAAGGTATTTACAAAATTAAACATGCCGTTTTCATGGGAACATACCAAGGAAGAAAAAATGAAAAAAAAATTGTCTAAAAACTCAATATTTAGACTATGTCGCCCATGGGCCTGCCCATGGGCGAAGTCTGGCCCATGGGTAGGCCCATGGGCGAGAATATGTTCCTTTACTTAAAACTCATGTTTTTGTTTCGCAAATACATTTAATGTATTCATTCAAGTATCATGACACAAAATTTAATTCATTTTAACTTAATTCAACGATTTTATAGCGATATTGAAATATTTCGCCCATGGGCGAGAAAACGGTTTGGCCCATGGGCGAGAATATGTTCCTTTACTTAAAACTCATGATTTTGTTTCGCAAATACATTTAATGTATTCATTCAAGTATCATAACACAAAATTTAACTCATTTTAACTTAATTCAACTATTTTATAGCGATATTGAAATATTTCGCACATGGGCGAGAAAAAGGTTTGGCCCATGGGTAGGCCCATGGGCGAGAATATGTTCCTTTACTTAAAACTCATGTTTTTGTTTCGTAAATACATTTAATGTATTCATTCAAGTATCATGACACAAAATTAAACTCATTTTAACTTAATTCAACGATTTTATAGCGATATTGAAATATTTCGCCCATGGGCGAGAAAAAGGTTTGGCCCATGGGCGAGTATATGTTCCTTTACTTAAAACTCATGATTTTGTTTCGCAAATACATTTAATGTATTCATTCAAGTATCATGACACAAAATTTAACTCATTTTAACTTAATTCAACGATTTTATAGCGATATTGAAATATTTCGCCCATGGGCGAGAAAAAGGTTTGGCCCATGGGTAGGCCCATGGGCAGGCCCATGGGTGAGAATATGTTCCTTTACTTAAAACTCATGTTTTAGTTTCGCAAATACATTTAATGTATTCATTCAAGTATCATGACACAAAATTAAACTCATTTTAACTTAATTCAACGATTTTATAGTGATATTGAAATATTTCGCCAATGGGCGAGAAAAAGGTTTGGCCCATGGGTAGGCCCATGGGAAGGCCCATGGGCGAGAATATGTTCCTTTACTTAAAACTCATGTTTTTGTTTCGCAAATACATTAAATGTATTTATTCAAGTATCATGACAAAAAATTTAACTAATATTTACTTAATTCAACTATTTAACGGCGTTATTAAAATATTTCGCCCATGTTTTCGTCAGTCCCTTTCAAGCATCAACTAACTGTTTGCAAAGTATATTGTATCATGTGAAATATACTTTATATTATATCATTACATTACTATTTAAAAAGGGCATTTGGTTGGATGTTTCCTTTAGTTCTACAAATTTCACCTGTTTTACATATTGTAGCGATCTTTAATGAACCCGGCCTTACCTCTCAAAACGTTTTGACAGTTTATCATACGAATTCATGTGCGTGTACTCCAATTCATTGGAGTTATTTTCCACAACATTAAATTTTAGTTAGTTT